ACCACCATTTTCCTAGTGACCAAACTTAATATCTTTAGAATCTCCTAGCCAATGAGTCTATCTTTATGTCTTTTGGGCTCATTTTATCATGTAGATAGACCTATTGATTAAGTTATTTCTGTCAAATCAGTAGAAGATGATGAATTATGATGACAAATAGAAGTCCTTTCAACAGTGACAGTAACATGTTGCTTTCCCCGATTGATTTTCTGTGCGTTCTCCCATCTGCATTACATTAGAGAATGGCTTGCTGGTAAAATCCAAGTATGAGGATTCCATGTAGTCGAAATCACTATGAAGAATTTGGAAGGCTCTTCTAAATCTCAAATTAATCTCACCTCTACAAAACCAGAGTAAAAGAACTATGTCATTAATAAAAATACACGCTTCAGGCTGTAAGTCTAGCTACTCAGGAGGCTTGGATCTGAGGATCAAGGTTTGAAGCCAGCCCAGGCAGAAGAGTATTATTTGTGAGACTCTTTTTTCTGATTTACCACTGATTTGCCACAGTGGAGCTGTGGTTCAAAGTGGTAGAACGCTAGCTTTGAGTAAAAAGATCTCACGGACAGCCCAGGCCCTGTGTTCACACTCCATAACCACCACCACCAACAGAAAATCACGAAATAAAGATGCAATCTTAGTTTTTAAGACGATCGAGAATCTTAGAGGCAAAAATAAAGGGGTTTAGACCATGTGGTTGAATAATTGCTTTTGGGGACAAGTGAATCTTACAGTTGGGAAATGAGAGATTGGTGAAGGAGTACATTAACAGATTTTAGTGTTTTTAACAAGATAGGCCCAGTTTTCAAAATCTTCCATTTGGAAGGGATAAGAAAAACTAGGAGAGGCTAATTATGAAGATGAGTGCAATCCCATTTACAGGCCTCTATGTACTAAAGCAAGAAAAGCCTTCCTTGAGAATATATATTCTAAAAATGAAATAAGAAAACCAAAGGAATCTGTTTTACTAAAAAAAAGTCAACATAGCATATACTGAAAAGTTTTCCTTTTCTAGTTGCCTTTAACTGAAGGTATCTAGAAGGCTCTTTCTCTGCATCAGAATTAAGAGGTAACATTTTCTTTTGTATTTTTAGAAATGTTTCTATTTCTATGACTAGGGCTCTATGATTATGGCCTCTGGCTAACAGCATCCTCAAACTCAGAAAAAAATGTTAATTTTTCTAGAAGCAATTATATATACAGTAATGAGAAAAGGCTAATGTTACTATGCAAAAACCACATATACTATATGCTTGTATTTTACATCAAGGCAGAAACACACATGAAATGAAAAGGCTGGCTAAGGAATCACAAAATCCAATTCAAATATATCTGTTTACAGAACTTGACAGTGCTGACATGACTGTTTTACTGGAAAGCAACATTTTATTGACTAGATAACACACTATGACAAAGTATAATAACACATTCTGACTTCTCTAAGCTTATATTATATATATGAAAGGAACATGAATTAATAAGTACGAATATTTACCCCAGTTATAAATATAAATATGTGGCACTTAGCTATCACACCCTCAAAGAAGTTAGACTATAGAATGAGCTAGTATCCTTCTTTGATTCTAGACTACTATAATGTCACTGTGGTGATTTGCTTTCCATGTGTTTAGTATATATGGACTATCTGCTCAGTGCCTAAAATAAGCATTAGTAATACAGAGTGGAATGAGACATAATCTTTAGGGACATAAACTTTACATTCTTCAAGTGGGAGAGGGAAGAAAGGGTCATGTATATTATACTTTATATAGTGTATGTATAGAAGAAGAGAGAAAGAAAAGACAAGGAAGTGGAGGAAGGACGGAAGAAAGAGAGGGAGGGAAAAGAAGGGATTGAAGGAGAAAGGAAAAATAATTCAGCATATGGTAGAGCAAAGATGGAGGGTAAAATGAGGTCACTTTGAATGAAGAGGGTGGATAGGGGGCAGGGTTGTACAGGAACACAGAACATGCAAAAGCCAGGCAAGTGGGAGAGACTAGAAGACTACAAACAGCTTGCATTGTTCTATTGCATATCTGTGTACGAGAATGAACCTGGAGAAAGGAAGAGTCATGCCAGAAAGGGCTCTGCAAACTGGAAGGAATTTGAACTTTATACCACAAGGCATGTTTTTACATATTCCCTACATACTGTAAAGATAAAATAATTATGAGAGTATAATACTGGCATAGAGATAGATAACGTGAAACAGTATAGGAAATGGAGAAACAGAATAGACGGTCTAGATGATATAGATACAGAAGTTTAAAATATGAAAAAGATTAGTAAGGAAAGGATGGATTTTTCAACAAGTAATATTTGGACAATTGATTAATCATTTCAAAATGAATTTCTATTTGCCACACTAGACATTTAAAAAAATGCTTAGGTAAATTAAATATATGAAAAAAATAGAAGAAATTATTAGAATCTTGGGATTGGAGAGTATAATCCTTTTGTTGTTTTATGTTTTTTAGCATGACATTGTTGCATAGCTCAAAGGCAAGGTAGGTAAGATAACAAAAATCACAACCTACAATGTCATAAATTTCTGAAAGGCTAAGAGTTTATGGGTTTTAAGACAAATGATGAATTAGGAGAAATGTTTACAATTTTTATATAACAGATAATTTTTGTCTGTAATACATAGTATACTGAAATCAATTTGAAAAAAAATCTAGGAGAAATGTGTAAAGGATAAAAATAGGCAACTCATGAAAGAAATAACACTTTATGATATAAAAATATGCTAGCATTTGATGCTAATCAGGAGATGCATGACACTGACACGGTGGAGATCCAAAATAATTATCTATTATGTTCCATGTGTGTTTAAAAATGATGTTTGGAAATGAACATGCTCCTTGTGAGTGGGGATGGGAGGAAAAACCTGGGAGACAGTGAGGGAAGAGGTGATACCATCCAAAAAGAAAAAAAATACAGTGGGCCATGATAAATTATACATTTCTCTAAGTATTCATATAGCGAGATCAAAGTAGAATATTATTAGGAGAGGATTACGAGGAGTCAATAGGTACATGGATCTGATCATAAAATAATATTTATTGGGGGGGATGAGGGAGGAGATGGGAAGTGATGGGAAGGGGAAACAAAGGAGGAGGCAATAATGCTTGATAAGAAATTCACTCATTACCTTGCCCATGTAATTGTAACCCTCTGTACGGTATTTTCACAATAAAAAATAAAAAAAATAAAACACTCAATAATAATATTTATGGAAATGAACTTGAGGAAGTGGAAATTTTTTTCTTTGTTGCTGTTTTAGTTTTTAGTTCCTTTTGTCTTGTTTGTTTATATGCCTTTAGGCAGGAAGGGGGGTTACAGAAATGGTGGGACAAAGGCTAAATAAATACAGTAGTGGACTATACAACTTGTGTGTGGGGATGAAAGGGAAAATCTAGGAGATAGCAAGGGTATGGGGACATTGTTCAGAAAGAAACATACTAATTATATGACTTATGTAACTGTAACTCCTCTATCTAACCTTTACAATAACAATAAACTTTTTTGAAAAATGTCATTATCTAACTTATATAACTATAACCCCTTTGTACATCACCTCTACAAAAAAAAAATAAAAAGTAAAAAAAAAATGATGTTTGGAAGTGAACTTCTTTCATAGGTGCTTGCCACAAAGACACCAGAATTAATTTTTCCTCTTTTCCCTTCAAGCACAAGCTTTATTGCAAAAGTGCCAATTACGTTCTATTTCTTTCTACCACATATTTTTGCTGACAATAATTTGTTACTTTATTCGGTAAATTCTCTTGCATATATAAACTTTTCAAAACACACACACACACACACAATATATACTGGCATGGGAAGATATCCATATTTAGGTTTAACTGAAATAAATGACTAGTATAAATAGTACTTACAGTACATTACTATACTTATAGTACAGTAAGTACTGTAAATGAATAGTACTTGCAGTATGATCTGGTAAGTAAGATAGTGATGTACAGTGTTTAAAAGCATGGGCTTTGGGTCCGACCCAAAGTTGAATCCTACCCCTCTGCATAGATATGTGAAATGTCCTAATTTTCTTTAAGTCTTCTCTACTTTATCAACTGGAATAGAATGTACTTCACAGAGTTGTAAGGAGAATTCTTAATATATGTTGAGACTAAATACATGCTAGATTTTATTATTATTTAAAAACTTGAGGAATGATTTCTTTATCTAGTTGTCTTATAAAAATTGGACTCAGCATGTTAAGATTAGAATATTAAGGGTAAAAATTCTAATAGCTTCAGAAAAGAAGTTTTTTACTTGTTAAGGAGTGAGAAATAGATTAGCACCAGCCTTTTCTTCTTCTTTTCTTAAAACCAACCCCCTTGAATTCTAGAATAAAATTTCAAACTTTTGAGTAGAAAATGACTTTTATATTGTGGTTAAAAAACACTCAAGACATTAAACTTTAAAAATCAAGACATTAAGCTTTAAAAATCAAATATATTATGCTGAGTATTATAACATTTAATATAGAAAAATAATCCTACATACATTTAAACTGAGTCTATACAGCAAAGAAAATTTTAGCTTCTATTAACAAAATATTCTATTGCTATAATCACTTAATAGATATGATACTAAATTTGATAAATACAATTTTGACAGAGATATCCTTTGCTTGCATGTTCTTAAACAACTGTGCAAACCTATTTGGGAATTATATTTAAATACCAAGAAACAAAGAGCTATTATATGGTTTCAGAATAGAGAATTTTCAAAGCCTCAATCGTATAAATCAAAATTTGACATCCAGTCATCAAATTTTTTGAAATATCTTTTTGGTAGTTTTTATACATAATCAGTTTTGAATCATACCAGGAAAAACAATGAAGTGGGGGAAAAAACACTTTTAAGCATTTTTTCTAACAAGACTAGGAAAACAAACAAAAAACTTGTTAAGTTGAACTGATTATAATGTCTATATTAGCATAGTCTACACACATACATATAAGAATACATACCCCTCTGTTTTGTAAATTGTCCGAAAGCTGTCTCCTAAACTTTTGTAACTATTTGGATCAGTTGCAAATCTCTGAAGCTGAAACCTAGAAACAAAATTAAAAATAAATCTAAGTTAAAGATTTTGCCAAATAGCTTTTCTCACTTTTAAAATGTTAGAAAATCAGCCTTTTCAGATTCATCTAAAACATTCTAGTTTTTACTATAGATTTTATTAATTTATTTATTTTATACAATATTGACCTTATATCTACAGTTTTAATAGTATATTACTTTGTACTTTAATAGATATTTTTCACCTGTTTTTTAGCCAGACAGATGTACCCTGAGGCATTTATACTTTTTTTTGAAACCATCCACAGATGTCATATTATTTTGTATGTAATTTAGAAGTGTATGAAAAAATATAACTATAGCTCTTAATTAGTATTCTTTGATGGTTATTTAATATAAAGGTTAAAAACATCGAGAATCTAATGGGGCCTAACTTGGATTCTGATTTTAAACTTGGAATTAATTCTGGAAGTCAGGCACTTGCAAATGGAGGGAGAAGTTGGGACTGTCTATTAGGTTTTATTATTATATAATGTATTATTGTCATTTCATGATGGAATAGGGCCTTTGCGTGATCACAGTTCTCTTTATACGGCTGTTGCTCAATAAAAATGAATCCTATTTCTGAAAGCAGAACTTTTTTGCCTTCTTTTTAGGCGAGATCATTTCAGAACTCTAACCTCCCAAATGTGGAAGTCCTGAGCATGAAGATCTTAACTTTTTTATTTTGTGTTTCCCTCAGGATTGCTTCCAAAAACAAAAAACAAACAAAAAAAAAATAACTACTTTCATTTCTACCACATATCCAGTTGTTCTCCATTCTCTGGTTTTTCTTAGTCTGCCTATTTCTTGGTTTTTAATTCTTTATCCTATATTCTAATTTAAGGTTCTTTCCCATTCTATTCCACATTTCCTTCCTTCTTTCTTTCCTTCTTTCCTTCCTTCTTTTTCTTTCTTTCTTTCTTTCCCTCTATCTCTCCCTCCATCTTTCCCTGTCTCCCTTTCTCTTTCTTTCTCCCTTCCTTTTTATTTTTGGTGAAGCATTTTTACAAAAATGCTAGTTACATCTAGTTCAAGATTTTTTCCCCCTACATTGTTGGTTTTATGATACGCACACAACATCTACTTCTAAGAATAACATATTTTATAGTTCTAAGCCTCAAGGAATTTGGTAAAAACTTTTACACATCACTGAAAAGAGCAACTATATTGCTTTGCTTGAAGCAGTTGGGCAAATGAATGGAATGAATATATCATAAGCTAGAAAGCAAAAGTTGAATTACATTTGGTTTCATAAAGTGGGGAGTTGCTAAATGTGTTGGATAAGACAGTATCTGCCCAGGGAAGATGTGACAGTTGAGTCTAACACAGTTCTTGGCATATGCAAATCTCTAAGTTAGTATTTATTGTCAGATTGGATGGATTTGAAGGAATATAGAGTAGAGAGCAATTTTGAAGGCTGAGAATGATGCCTGGACATGAATGGATGCATGTTTAGTAAACTTTTTCTTTTTAATAATTTTTTGTTGATGCATTCAACATATCCTTCTCTTTATCTTCTTTAACACAAGTAATATTCCCCAACTTTATACATACTATTGCCATACTTCCAAATGTCACAAATATAAACTTTTTTTTGTTAGTCCTGGAACTTGAACCAAGGGCCTGGACACTGTCCCTTAGCTTTGTGAAAAATTGACTTATTTTTATCTGAAACATTTGAGAGAAATATGCAAATATTTTTATTAACCTCTAAATATTTTAGGATATGAATATCAATAATTATAACATAGTTATAAACTTCAATAAAATCTTCTTAAATTAGTCATTGATATATTTTTTTGGTGCCAGTCGTGGGGCTTAACTCAGGACGTGGACACTATCCCTGAGCCTTTTTTGCTCAATACACTCTACCTTTTGAGCCTCACCTCTACTTCTTGTTTATTACTGGTTAATTGTGAAACTCTCATGAATTTCACAAATTTCCTAATCAGGCTGCCTTTCAACCGCAGTTCTCAGATCTCAGCCTCCTGAGTTGCTAAGCTTACAGACATGAGCCACTAATGCCCAGAACAAATATTCCCTTTTATAATGTGGTTTCAAGGGGACCAAATTTGCACCTATTGTCCCTGAGGTTTTTTGCTCAAGGCTAGCTTTCTACCATTTGTGCTCCACTTCTGGCATTTTTGGTGGTTAAGTGGAGATAAGAGTCTCACAGACTTCTGTCTGGGTTGGCTTCAAACTGTGATCCTCAGATCTCAGCCTCCTGAGTAGGATTACAGGTATGAGTCACCAGTAACTGCCAAGAACTACACTCTTAAATGCAAATTGTACAGAACTTATCAGAAGATCATGAATCATTACAGAGAGATCATTTAAACTGCTTTGGATCCAGACATACATTTGGTGTGCCATTAGCCTGGAAAACTCAGCAGCATGTTTTGTTGAGAATAAGAACAAGATTTGATGGTCAGGTAGATGCACTATGTCTGGCTTTTTCTGGAATATGAACCAGGTAATTTGTCACTTCAGATGAATTAACACAACACAGACAATATATAATGGGGGAAATATGCAAAGATTTATACAAAAAGTAACTGAGAAACTTGTAGACCAATTTCTAAAACAGGCTTTGATTCTAGTTCAAATAAGTATTTCTGTCCATGTATTTGCATATTTGTAATCTATACTAATTGCTGAGTATGAAATATTTTTGTAAACATTTTCCAAGACTCTTCAGTAATTGTTCTTTTAGTGAAATTATTTAAAGGAGTTTTGAAATATTATAAAAGTATTATATGCACATAGATGTTTATAATATCTGTAATAATCTTTCATTAAGATTATTTACCTCATCAAATTCCTTTCTAAATGTTTTTCTCATAAATTACAGTGTTTTCTTAATGTGTGCCATATGATATAAGATGCTAAAGGTTTTTCAAAAATCCAAGACATTATTTTCACTTTCAGAAAGCACAAGACAGAAATATAAGAGAAAATAATGGATAGCATAAAGGAAAACACGTGAAAGTAGTGCGGGCACTATGAGGTCCAGGTGTTCAAGGTGGGCAATTATTGCTTTCCACAGAGGGCTGGGGAGGGTTTCAGGAAGGGGAAGGGATTTTTAGCTGGTCCTCCTGGGATTCAGAAAGGCAAAAAGAACAGAGAAGAGGAAGCATTCCAGCTGGGGAAAGGAACAAAGGCCACAGAGGGAAAGCTGCCCTTTCGGATGGGGAAATGAGGGAAAAGACCCTTCCTTCACAGCCTATGCTGAGTTTCCTCCAGGAAAATGCTACACTACTCTGCTTACAGCAAATAGTTGGTTGCTTAATGTGCGTGAAGGACTGAGAGCATTAGGAGACGGTAATTGGGAAAAGAAGTAAAAGCCTGTCATAAGCCTGTGTCTGCTTCTCAGCTGAACACTTGAGCTATCCATCTCACAGTTGTATGACTGTAGACCTAGACAGAACTGTGAAACCATCAGTAGTTGTACCAAGGCCAGAGCATCCCAATGCCTAGAAAATCCACCTCGATGTCTTTATTACTGCTCGGGTTAAAGGCTTCCACTATGTCCAAGATATCTGTAACTTCAGATAATATGTGCAAACAGGAGTTCATAATCTGGCTATTGAAAGTATAGGCAGTTCATTCTTTAGTTGTCATTTCTTTCCTTCCCCCCACCCCCCACAATTAATCAAAGAATATTTCCAAACTGTTCACATGAATTCAGTTAACATGACTTCTTGATCAGTACTATGTATTAAGGACACCACTGTTGGAGGAGAAGGAGTAAGGTGTTACAAAGAAATAAGACGAAGTCTTGATTTTCAGAAGTTTGTAATTACATAAAAGATGTGTAAAGGGATGATACCAGAATAAAGTTTGGGAAGAATGTTTTGGAGTATCAGGTGCTAGTCAATGAGGTTTACTAACATTCAGATCCTTCTTATTGGAGATGATCAGTGGCGGATTGCAGCCACTGATCATGGTACTTTGCAGAGACACTGGAGCAAGAAAATAAAGTAAAGGCTCCAAATCTATGATTAAACTTTACCCATATATTTTAAAATAGGAAAGAAGGATGGGTGGTCAGTTGGGTCCTTTAGGAGTGCCTTCACACAGAAGCTGTCTGTCTGATGAGTGATGCTGCATTTATTAGAAACAAACAAGAGAAGCAATATCAAAATAATTATATTAGGAGCATCCGCAAGCTGTGTGGAATAAGCAATGCACAAGGAAGGGCAGGCATGGTAAATAATGACATCTCAGTAAAGTCTTCAAATCATTCCCTATTATTAGAAAGGAGGACCCACTGGAGGACCCACTAAACCGGCTAAGGTAAGTGCATCTGCTCTAGTGTGTACCTCACACACAGCATGTCTACACTTTGCAGAGAATGTACACGCAGTATTTAGTTTCACTACATGACTTATTCTGATATCAGTTCTTCTAAGGAATCTGTTTCAAGTTGATATAATTACAATGTATTTTGGTCAATAATGTAACAAAGCAATTTTTCTTCTTCCTTTCTAGGACATTTTTAGCAATTTAAAAGGTTTTTTTTTGGAGGGGGATGTCGGTCATGAGGCTTGAACTCTGGGCCTGGGCACTGTCCCTCAGCTCTTCAGCTCAACGCAAGTGCTCTACCATTTGAGCCATTTCCGTTTTCTGGTGGTTTATTGGAGTCTCACAGATTTTTCTGCCAGGGCTGGCTTTGAACTGTGATCCTCAGATCTCAGCCTCCTGAGTAGCTAGGATTATAGTCGTGAGCCACCAGCACCCAGCTAATTTACAAAGTTTTCCCCCTTGATATTAAAACCTTATATCAGTGTTTTCCAAGCTGTATTCTAAGCTAACACATCCTTTCTGCTCAGAGAGACAATTTTTCCTGTTGTACAACACAATTTTGTGTAAAATTGCAAGGGGAAAGCCACACTAGTCCTGATTATATTGAGAAGAAAAGCTTAGACTTCGCCATTGTCCTAATAAAACCAGCTTGGTCACATCTGGAATCTCCATTTGAGTAGCTTCT